TCACAGTCTAAGGAAAGACAGAGAGTGTGTACACTGACGCCATTGTGATCAATTCTGAGCCACATCATCCAGAGTTCCCAACCGCTGGTTACTATAGTAACGTGAACCCCAACCAAGTAGTTTGCATCTAACAACATGACTAAGACTAGAAAATAGTGACTTCGAGCACTGATGTCACATTTTAGCTTTGGTCGCCCCTACCTTTCTCCCAAACATCCTTACCACTAGTCAGCACTGCACGTCATGTTGATCAGAGTTCTAGAATAAATAACACGTGACCAAACCATCATAATAATAAAACCTTACTACAAAAACAAAATGATTTAAGAAAAATATTAATTACTTGACTAACCAAAATGTTACACGTTTATTTTTAAAAAAAACCCACAACTCTTTACAAAAACAAAACAAAATAGGAAAACATTTTCATTTCAATGCACATACAATTGATGAAATATTTTCTTATTGAACGATCATTTTTTGTGATACTTATTTTTTTTCTTCATTCTTCTCTTTTTCTTTTTTCTTCTTTTTTCTTTTTTTTAAGGTCACTTGTATACTATAAAGTTACATATGCTAAGATACATTAGTGAAATTAAAATTTCATTTAAATATATCCTTATTTGATTTAACTAAAAAGAGAAAAAGAAAGTTACAAACATCTTTCACTTCAAAAAAAGAAAGTTTTATAAGTCCATAATAGTTATATTATACTAAAACTTCCGGTGAATTAAATTAAATTTGTTCTATATTCCTTTAAATATGTTTAATTGATGTATATAAGTAGATAGTAATTTTGATTATGGTTATTTAAATGATAAGAAGATTGTATAGTATTATGGTTATCGTAATAAACAATAACAATAACAAATAGCTGAGGCCATGAAAATTCTAAATATTATTGATGATATTTAACTTGACAAATTTTCAACATTATCCACGTGCATACAACAATTGCCAGAAAAGTCCTACTCACTGACTTCTCGTGTCAGAAGTGTTGTCTACGAAATCGAAAGGATAAAAGCGAATTCCCGAAGCTTTAATCGGGTTGATGGATATAAAGGATTCATCTAGAGGAGTTTGTTGGAAAACCCTGATTCCAAAACAATGGTGCACATGGGCTCTATGATCCTAAAGAAACAAATGGTGTATCAACCCATAGTTGCTTATCAACTACCATGGGACTGTATCTCCTGACGTTGCTCTACTATGTTGTGGATTGAACCTTTGAGTCAAAGGCTCGTGGTGTGAAACCTCTTAAAAAATCACCTTCTTTGGTTTGAGCACCAGGAAAATATCCCAGCCATCACGAATATCGAATGACGAAGAATGGAGCATATATATTTGAGGCCTCCTTATATCAACATATTTGTGTTTGACTGAATAATAAATAAATAACTCTAAAGGTATTTTAAATCATGTGCCTGATCAGTAAACTATATTTTAACAACGAATTGTCTTAATAATAAACATTAAAAAGTAGTTGTTTTATGACACTCATAACTAAAGATTGGGTACAAGTATTATACCAGTAAAAGTAAGTTATTATGTTTTTATTTTAGATTTAAAACATCAGATACAATTACTTTGAATCAATCCAAAAACCTAAATACCAAGTACTATATAGTACCTATCAAGAAGACAAGCTAACTATTCCAGAATAATTAGGATATTTTGAGAATCAGGGTTTTCCAACTAACTCCCACAGATCGATCCCCCACATCCAACGACCCGGTTAAAGCGTCGGACATTCAGTTTTTGTCCTCTCGACTTGATAAACAACACTTAAAAAAAAACACTTTTCTATACTGCTGATCTCGAAAGTACTATGCAATACGTAAAAAACTGAGATAACCCTCAAAAGACAAAGTAACGATTATGCATGAGTTTCTACTACAAGATAAGTAGTAATTAATGCTACTGTTCACTTTCTTTTAGTTATATATACATTTTACAATAGACATTAGATAATTAAAATTAAATTATTCAGATGATAATTACGTCTTATTTTAAAAATTACTATTTTTCTTTTAAATCGTATTATTATTATTTAGTAAATTAGTAAACAGACAATAAATATAACGTAAACTACATTTACCTTAATCATTTATTTTAATCTATTATAAAATTGTACTACCGTCTTCCTATAACAATCTTATAAGCTACCCTTAGCCACTCTTTTTAAATGTGCGTTGGTAATTTCAGAACAATAGTTTCGATAGTTCTGGACGAGTTCAAATCAGAAACGTAATTCATCTGTTCGAGAGTTAGACCACATGCTTGCATTTCTCGAGACAGTCTTCTCAAATCATCTAGTTGATTCCTTCTTATATTGGGAACGTATAACAAATTGTCGATAAATGTGCGTGCTATAACGTGTTTTCGGTCAAATGTTTCCTCTAAAAGCTTTAGGGCTTGACGATAACCTATCTGTGGTTCTAGTATAGTACAATGAAAAATAGCAGCTCTCGCCTCTCCGTCACAATATTGAATCAAGTAATTTAGCTTAGCTCTAAATCCAATATTCTCACTCTCGATGCATTCTTCGAAATTTCAAATAAAATTCCGATAATTTGTCGGTGTACCATCAAAACTTAGGATTTCTTTTTTTCGATAAATACAGATTTTTTAATATTGTATTCTCACTGTTGCTTATTGATTGGTCAAAACCTTCAGTTTTCTGGCGGTGTAACCTTTGTAGTTGAATTCTTCTTCTGAGTTATACGTAACCTAACTAATTCTAGTCTTATCATACTATTTGGTTTTGTTTTCGTCCTTTTCAAATTGATCCTGATCATAAACTCTCAGATAATAGAGTGATAACTCTGGAATCTCAGTGGAATCATAATATTTATTAGAAATCACTTCATTAGTCATTAAATCTGTTTACTTATCTTATGTAAACCGCTAATATTGTTGAGTGATTATTACGAAACTTTTCTCAACTATGAAATGTAAGATTAGTTGGTAATTTCCTTGTAAATATACTTAATACGTAATACCTATAATCGTATTAGAATTGTTTTACACATTATTGAATAAAAATACTTCACTTTTCCTATAGACAATTACTAATTTTCTAATGAATAGATTTATCATTATAATACCATTATTCATTAATTAAATAAGTAAATGTAAATTATTCAGATAATAGGTATCATGACCAAGATCTGATTTGATAATTTCGAATAAATTGAGCATTGGGTAGATTGTTATAAATAAATAATATATTTGTAATATTCCAATGAGTAGAAAAATTAGGTTTTCTGACGTTTCGTGACTTAGTGTAAGTCGCTTCTTCAGAGAATAAATAACCAAATTAAAATTAATTCAAAATTAAATAGTATGACGGAAAAATAGGAATAATATGTGATCAACCAAAAACAGGTCTGAACAAGTTAATATCATGTCATTTCGGCCAAGGTGATTCATAAGTGAAATGTATGTAAATTTGTGTGTATGTATGTGCGTACTGTTTAAGGATGAAAAATTGTTGTGTGACGTTTATAGAGAGAAGGGATAGAGTTTAATTTGTAAGATGATGGTGTGAATTGTAAGGAAGATCAGACTAAGTGGCTAGGATAGATAGTCCAAGTAGGATGTACGGTAAAGCCTTCTTTTTCTTCTATTGAGAGAAGTAAGATTAAACATTATATGGAACGCTTTATTTATTCTCTGAAGAAGTGACTTACACTAAGTTACGAAACGCCAGAAAATCTAATTTTTCTACTCATTGGGATATTACAAATATATTATTTATTTATGTTCAGATAATAGTTACCTCATATTTTATACCGCATTATTATTAGGTGAATTAGTAAACAGACAGTAAATATAATGTAAACTACATTAACTATAATCATTTATTTTAATCTAGTGTAAAATTGTACTGGCTCCATTACTTAAATTAATGTGTTTTATTTAAAGTAATTTTTTTGTTGTTGTTGAAACTAGTAAATAATGCTAAAAATGAGTTAATATATAATTACACAAATGATAAGATCAATAAATGATCCTTTAGTGATTAAGGAATTTAATTATTAGTTATTAATTTTATATACCATAATGTAATTAAGTTCAGTAGTCATATAAAATTGTGTAATAAATAGGAGAAGAAAACACGAATGTCCGACGCTTTAACCGGGTTGATGGATATAAAGGATTCATCTAGAGGAGTTTGTTGGAAAACCCTGATTCCAAAACAATGGTGCACATGGGCTCTATGATCCTAAAGAAACAAATGGTGTATCAACCCATAGTTGCTTATCAACTACCATGGGACTGTATCTCCTGACGTTGCTCTACTATGTTGTGGATTGAACCTTTGAGTCAAAGGCTCGTGGTGTGAAACCCCTTAAGAAAACTACCTGCTTTTATTTGGGCACCAGGGCATAATACTATACTATTTATAAATTTTATAAAGTATTTATTTGTAAATTTTTGATGTATTTTTATCATGTTCTTGGAGAACTAGATGACTAGGAAGATTAAATGAAAATCATAAATGTCATCTGATTTCTTCTATGGTTATACTCTTCATTAGTTTCACAGATGTTATATTTCAAGAAAAGATTCCTTACATTTGAACTCAAAGTTTCTGGTAATTGGAAATAACTTGTTTTTTTTTAAAAGTGTAGGTTTATCATCAAATGAAAGTATGTCACACTGTAATGTATACAAAATTACTTCACACAAATAATTGAAACTTCATTTTTGTTGTTGTATATTTATAACCATACTGTCAAACTAATGTTGATAATACTATATATAAATTGATGTAATTTTTACCATAAGTTCATATATGTTAGATGTTTAACAAAGATTATACAACTATTTTGTATTTTACTAATAAAGTTTACATTTCTGTACTATAATTATCAATAAATCATATTCAACAACTTTAAATCTAATCAAACACTAAAATAAACATCAGACAAATATATAACTTAGAAAAACAAACAAGCAAATAAACAAACAAACAAACTAACTAACTAACTAACCTTGGTCTTCCATATGTTAAATAATATGCATTCATTTCTCTTAATAAATCTTGTATAGCTTTTTTATCTTGAAATATTGATGATATTCTTTGCATTACTTTATTTTCTAATTGTAATTCATTGTCTAAATAATTTTGTTGTATATTTTTTGGAGTTTTAATTAATTTTACTATAGGTGATTCAATTAAATATTTAGGTAATGTAGATGTATCTGATTCTAATATTGTCTCTGAATCAGTTGACTTTTCCGTTAATGGTGATAGTATAGTATTATGTAAATGCATAGCAGTTATGCATAGATTTTTATTCATGTAATCTATTGAATAATTAAATAATATTATTATCATTAAGATTTGTATAATTTTATTGAATAATAAATATTTATTCTTTTTAGTCGCATCGATATAATAATCAGTAATATTATGTATTAAAGGATTTTTTAAAATATTCATAATTTTAATCTTTTCAATGTTATTATTATTATTATTAGAAGAAGAAGAAGAAGAAGGAGAAGACTTCATTTGATCACATTGAATGTAAGTACTTTCAATCGATTTCAATGATAAATTTTCAAAATTTACGCGTATATATTGTATAGATTGATTTAAACTATTTATTGAAATATTATGTTTTGTCCATGACAAATTAAATAGATTATTATTATTAAATAATTTGTTCCAATAATTAATTAATTGTCTAATAATTATAGAATTAAATTGTTTAGTAGCATAGATTATAATAAAGCAATAATAATGGTAGTGATAATAATAATAGTATTGATAATTAACTAAAGAATTAATAAGCATTCAATAATAACAGAATTTAAGTTGATTTCGTGTACAAAACAAAAACACAATCAAGTTACAAAGATATATAGATATATATACACGTATGTAGATTCCTGTAAAATAATTTCCATTAAGATATTGGTAAATATGATTTTATTAAATCAGTTAAACAGGGTTTCTTGATTTGTGCATGTGTGCATGTGTATATATATATATATATATATGTTTGTATGTTTACATTTTTCAATAGTCTATAAAATATATTTTAACCCATGTTATTAGAAAATGAACTAGCCCACTCATATATAACGACTATAAAATTGACTCCTACGCATATATAATCCACCATATAAATCATCCAATCTTTATTCTATATTTATTGAGAAATTTTGTCCTGAGGAAATTTTTCGTATTTTTTTGTATTTTTTAAAATATTTTTTAAAAGATTATTATTAAATATAAATTTTAGAAACGATCATCCGACTATTTAATATGATTTCATGCAGTTAGTTCCCTTTATGAATTTAAATAAAGCAAGAAAAGACACCAAACCCAATTTCGAAGGTGTTAACTAAAGATCATCAACTAGCATTAAAAAACTTGTGAAAGACGAAACAATACTGCTACTTCGTCCAGACAAGGGTTCCGGTGTAGTCGTTCTTAACAGAGATGAATACATTAACAAATTAATGTCGACTTTAAACGATTCCACTAGATTTATTATCGATAATACCCAGAAAGACTTAACAGAAACGACCGAGAAACGTCTCCTAAAAAAATTGAGAGAACTTCTAAAGAAAAATCTAATAGATAATCATATATACAATGAACTTAAACCTAAAGGATCACAATTACCATACTTATATGGCCTACCCAAAACTCATAAGCCCGAAATCCCGATAACACCAATATTATGCATGACCAACTCACCCTTCCACAAACTCGCTCGCTGGCTGACAAAATGCTTAGAAGCAATCCGAAAGAAAGTAGCACCCTACAGTCTAAAAGACAGTTTTGAATTCGCACAAAAACTCGACAACCTAAATGTTTCTGATAAATTTATGGTTTCATTTGACGTCTCATCACTCTTCACAAACATCCCCTTGGAAGAAACGGTTGAAATCATATGTAAATATCCTGAACTTCTACCTCTACCAGCCCAGGATTTTAAACAGCTCCTTTTTTTATGTACCAAAAACATACAATTTCAATTTAATAATGTCTTTTACCACCAAATTGATGGAGTTGCTATGGGTAGCCCGTTGGGCCCAATTCTTGCTGATATATTTATGGGATACCTGGGACTAAATAAGCTTAAACACGCAATTCACGATACTACATTCTACTGTAGATACATCGATGACACATTTCTCATCTGTAACAATCATAAGCACGCCATTAGACTACTTGATCTGTTCAATAAAGCACATAACAATATAGAATTTACTATGGAAAAGGAAGTTGAAGGTAAATTCCATTTCCTTGATATTGGGATCAGACGAACATCTGATGGCACATTAAACAGACACATTCATCATAAAAATACTTGGAGTGGACTATATCTCAATTACTACAGTTTTTTTCCAATGAGTTACTAAAAGGGTTTGATACGAACCCTTTTTGACCGCGCTCGCAAAATTTGTTCAAAGGAATGCCTGGATGATGAAATTACTCTCATCACTAATGTTCTACCAGAAAATGCATACGCGTTGAAATTTATTCACAAACATGCAAAAACCAACCCTCAAACAAAGTACGATAGAGTTGAAAAGAAATCTTGCTTCTTATATCTACGTTGCAAAGGAGATGAAATTGCTGGCTTAATTAATCACAGACTAAATTCAGCGTTAAAAGTTGCCTACCCAGCAGCAAAACTAACAACAGTATGGAAAACGAATTGCTCACTTAAACAAACTATAATCGACAAGTCCTCTTTTCTTAATAGCTCCAACTGCATTTACCAATTCACATGTACGTGCCATAGCACATACATTGGAAGAGAGTTCGCATTTCTGAGCATATTCCAAAGAACTTGAGGCTGTGAGGGACTAAGGCTCTTAACAGTGCAATAGCTCGGCATTTACTTGACACCGGGCATATCATCGATATTTCGCACGCTTTTAAAATTATCAACAGACAAAGAAGTACTACTACTCTCCGCTTTGCGGAAGCGATTGCAATAAAAAAAACTTAAACCGGATTTATGCATTCAAAAAGAGACACTAATTAACTTATTATTATCCTGGTAATCCATTTTTTTTTGTGTGTGTGTTATTTGATTCACTTATTTATTTTAAAAAAATTATTTTGTTATCCTCCACACACCCCCCCCTTCATAACTTAATTCTTAAACCAATTTTTATCCACATATTTCCGCCTCACTGATACTGTTAGATTATCTTAACTTCAAATTTTATTCAATCATTACATAACCTATCTTATCACTGTTCTAATACCTCTAAAATAATTATCACACAATTTATAAACTCCATTCAACTATTACATCACCCATCTTTAATTGTCTCCTTAATTCTAACACCAATTAACCTCTGACCTGTTCTAGCATATATATATATATATATATATATATATATATATATATATATATATATATATATATATATATATAGTTATTATTGTAAATCTTTGTCATTCTAATCATGTACATTCATTTATGCCAATTGTTTTACACTATCTCAATGTAAAATTTTTTATCACATATTTGGTTGTAAGCAGCTGACGAGAAACCTCGAAATATTATGAATTCATACCATTCTGCATCAATATTTGTTCTTGCTTTATTTAATATGAATATAATAAAAAGTGTTATTAAACTTATATAATAATCAGAAGGGGTTTTGTGGAGATTTTGAAATTTCACTGGTTGAAATCATGAATCAATCGAAGCTAGACAACCATGGAAAACGTGGAATCACTGGACGACCGTTTCATCCTAGTATGGGACTCCTCAGTAGTGCGTATCCACGATCCTGCTCCCCACGAAATTCTAACACACGATGTTTGAGTCTAGCGTGCAAGCACTTAACCACCAGACCACTGAGCTGGCCGGCATGGAACGGTGTTAATGTCTAACTTCAAACAATCCACGAAGTTGCGCCACCGTACACCTTTGTCCTTAGTGAGTTGATATCTCACAACAGACCTAGTTGAACTCCATTGGTAACGGCTTCTCACTAGAACTCCAGGAGTGTCTCTTGAAATCAGTCACCAGTTCAACCAAGTCTGTTGTGCGATATCAACTCACTAAGGACAAAGGTGTACGGTGGCGCAACTTCGTGGATTGTTTGAAGTTAGACATTAACACCGTTCCATGCCGGCCAGCTCAGTGGTCTGGTGGTTAAGTGCTTGCACGCTAGACTCAAACATCGTGTGTTAGAATTTCGTGGGGAGCAGGATCGTGGATACGCACTACTGAGGAGTCCCATACTAGGATGAAACGGTCGTCCAGTGATTCCACGTTTTCCATGGTTGTCTAGCTTCGATTGATTCATGATTTCAACCAGTTGTATAATAATCACCAACGTCTGTAACTCAACTCAACCATGAATAAAATACAAAATAAGATAGTTATTATGAAATCTCTAATACTTATAGTACCGAATTACTAAGCCGAAATTCGATAGTTTGTTCTTATCACTTTAAAAAAAACTGATAACCCCATGTAAACAAAAAAGACAACATCATCATTGTAACATTGAATTTTACACTGAAGAGATAAGATGTAATTATAAAAATTAAATGTTTGTCAAATATTGTTTTGATAGGGTAGTAAAGACAATGTTTAAATATATTTTTGTTAATATATAAATTAAGCTGGATACAATGAAATGTAGCTATTCACTCTGATGGAACATGATAAAAACGATATCCATATCAGTTTCTAATTAATTGAATGACTTAAATAAAATTAAATTTAAATATATCTACATTTATTAAGTCGTTTTTTCTTTAAGCTTCAGTTGAGAAATGATATTGTTGATGTAATTTCATTTAAATACTTGAGATACTCTTCAAAACGAATATTTAACACCCTTAGATCACATAAAAACCCTGAAGGTACATAAGCGTTTCTTTTTCTGATGTCTTAATGTAATTTAAAACCTTAAAATTATTGTAGATTGTTTGAATTAATGCTCTACACATGAGATTGGTAGAATACGGAGAATGTATTTGATTCATGTACATATGAGTTGCACTAACTGATATGAGAAACTATTTTGTGAGATAATCATTAATTCAATTAACCTTAGATTAAAAGTTCAACTTCATTTCAAACAACAAAGTAGTATATATAAAACTACGTAAATCATTATAAATGATTTCACTTCATTTAGTTTTTGCTATAGTTTTTGATGTTCTTGATAGTTGTGTTTCACTTATTACTTGCTTACACACACCCATATCCAGCTTCGTATTTTTAATAATAATCTCAACAATGTGATTCTCGATAATATAGTGAGGAGTATCTCCGCCTATCACGTGGAAGGCCCGAGGAGTCGAGTTTTGCATTAAATGTACTGTTGCGATCGCGAGTGAGGAGAGTCCGTTCTCTCTTTAGAAATGCTCTCACATAACTATGAGTATAAAGGCACTGATAAGGAAGTTCCACTCACTGTCTTCTCGTAATGTGAGTGTTGGCTACAAAATTGAGGGGACGAAATGTGGATGTCCAGCGCTTGAACCGAATTGCTGGATATGGATGGGAGCTAGTTGGAAAACACTGATTCCAAAACAACGGTTCACATGATCTCTAAGATCCTGAGGGAACAAACGGCGTATTAACCTATTGTTGCTCACCGGTCACTATAAGACTGTCTCTCCTAACGTTACTCCACTATCTTGTGGATTAGACTTTCAAGTCAAAGGCTTGAGGAGTGGCCCCCAAAGTAAACCACCTGTTTCGGTTTGGGTGCCCGTGTAATGTTCCAGTCCTCACACGAATCGAATGACGAAGTGTGGCGCACATAATTTTGGTGCCTCCTTGTACCAATGTTTATGTGTTTGAATAAATAAATAAATTTTAAGAAATTTTAAGTGTGAGACGAACTGATGAAAATCCGTTTTCTACTAATTAGAATATCATGAATAAATAATCATTATGCGCATAAAGGAAGTACGTCCTATCGTTATCGTTACCTTGGCCTTAATTAACATTATTATTATTATTGG